CCTTCCCCAAATTCCCCCCTGACCCCTCCCCACCGTCAATAAATTGGATGTTGACCGACCCCCTGTGGTGGTTTGGGGTCCTGGTGCCTCAGTTTACCCCTCCAGCCTTGGGAGGGGGCTGAGGCTTCAGTCCCGGGGTGGCACCTGGGGACCCGGGGCCTGGAGAGCTGCTGTGTGCCCCCCAGCCAGGTGACACCGGTCACTCCGCTCTGCACTGGCCCTTGATACCCTTTTATTTCCTGGGGTGGCCTCGGGGGGCCGCGTTTGGGGCTGGGGGGGGGGCAGGGTTCATTCCCTGCCCCCAATTTGGGGGTGCCCGTGTGGAGGGGGTCGGGCCATGCCCTGTCCCCTCTTGTGCCAGCGGTGCGGGATGGGGTGGTGACAGGTGAGGGTGGCAGGACGGGCTGGGGGTGCCCAAGTGCCCTCCGGAAAGGGGCCGGGGGGGCCGGGCCGGGCGGGGAGGGGGCGGCTGGAGCCGCTGTCCCTTGGCCGTGCCCCGTGTCCCCGGGGGTGCGTCCCGGGGGGCTGTGGGTGGGGAAGGGGGTGCGGGGACCCCCCCCCGTTCAGCTCCTCCGCTGCTCCTGGTCCTTCTTCTTCTGCTTCTCGCGCTGCTTCTCCGCCTTGTCGCGGGCCTTGCGCTCCCGCTCGGCCGCCAGGCTCAGCTCCTTCAGCCGCCGCTTGAGCACCGCGCGGTCCTGGGAGCTGCCCACGCCCAGCGCCTGCGGCACCGCGGGCTGGCCACGCACCCCCCCGCGCCCCCTGCCCCGGGGTCAGCCCCCCGGGACCCTCCCCTGACAGCCTTGGGGGTCCCAGAACCGCCTGTCCGTCCCTTGGGATACCCCGAGCCTCCTGCCCCATGGAGTGGCCAGCTCGGACAGCAGGGTTTGGATACCCATGGAGACCCCCTTTGGGGCTGAACCCTCCCAGACCTTCCTGCCCCATGGAACTGGGGTACCCCGACCCATTCCAGTCCTTCCTGCCCTATGGAAACCCCCATTGGGGCACCCCGAACCCATCCCAGACCTTCCTGCCCCATGGAATTGGGGCACCCTGAACCCTCCCAGACCTCCTGCCCCATGGAATTGGGGCACCCTGAACCCTCCCAGACCTCCTGCCCTATGGAATTGGGGTGCCCTGAACCCTCCCAGGCCTCCTGCCCTATGGAATTGGGGCACCCTGAACCCTCCCAGACCTCCTGCCCTATGGAATTGGGGTATCCCGAACACATCCCAGACCTTCCTGCCCCATGGAAATGGGATACTCAGAGCCCTCCCAGATCTTCCTGCCCCGTGGAATTGGGGTACCCCGACCCATCCCAGACCTTCCTGCCCCACGGAATCCCCCCCTGGAGCACCCAGCACCTCTCGCCCTCCATCTTTAGGGGTCCCTGGAGCCCCCCCGGCCCCGCACCTTGAGCTTGGCCCCGTCGAGGAGCAGCAGGCGGGGCCCGTCCACGCCGCGCTCCGCGAATTCCCGCACGTAGCGCTCCAGGCCCAGGCTCTGCAGCCACTGCCCCACCTGGCCGCACGTCCAGCCCTCGGCCGCGCCCGCCGGCTCCTCCAGCAGCTGCGCACGGAGGTCAGCCGGGGGTCCCCGGGCCACCTGGGGGGGTGACACCCCCGGCCCCGCGCCGCCCGCGCCGCTCTCACCTCGTCCGAGGACTGGGACAGGGTGTGGTAGGGGTACGAGCACTTGGGGGGGCCGGGCAGGCGGGGGCTGGCGCTGGACGGCGGCGAATCCTCGCTCAGCTCAGAGTCCTGGGCAGAGGGAGGGGCAGGGCTGGACCCCCAGCGACCCCCACAGCCACCCCAGTGACCCCCAGAGCCACCCCACAGCCCCCAGCGACCCCCAGAGCCACCCCAGTGATCCCCAGAGCCACCCCACAGCCCCCAGCGACCCCCTGCAGCCCCCCAGTTGGGCTGCCAGACCCCTCAGAGCGTTGACTCCCCTAAAGCCACCCGACCCTCTAGGGCTTTGGACACCCCCAATACCTGTCCTGACTCTACAGGGCTTTGTCACCCCCACAAAGCCACCCGGATCCTGGGGGGCTTCGAGTCCTCTCCCTGCTGTTACCTGACCCTATGGGGCATTGTCCCCCGTCCCCAGAGCTGGTGTCACCTCCTCTCTTAGAGCCCAGGGGTGCCCAGGCCCGTCCCCAGGCCGGGCGCTCACCTGCGAGGCGGATTTGGCGGGGCTGAGCCCCTCGTGCCGGGGGGAGCCCGCGGGGGACGCGGGGCCGGGCGAGCTGGAGCCCCTGGCGCTGTCCGAGAACCACGAGAAGGGCAGGAACGGGGACCCCGAGGGGCGGCCGGGCCCCTCCGCCACCTCCCTGGGGACAGTCAGTGTCAGGAGGTGTCCCCAGGCTGTCCCCAGGCTGTCCCCCTGTCCTGGGGGCAGGACCTCACCTGCTGCCCATGGACAGGCGGTTGCTGCTCTTCTCCTTGCGGCTCTTCCCAGAGGATGCCCGGCGCAGGGTCACCCTGGGGACAGGGGTGGTGACCTGAAGGGTCAGGCACCAGGACCCCCTTCCTCCCTCTCCTTGTCCCCTCCCGTCCCTCCCCCCTGCCCAGGGCGAGCTCTCACCCCAAATCCAAGAACTTCCTCCGTGTTTTCTTATCGAGCCCCACAGTCGGGCTGGCGGGCGAGGGGGGGCTCATGTCCCGGCTGTCATCTGCAGGGGTGGCACCGGGCTGTCACCCGCTGTCCCCTCCCGGCGTCCCCAGGGGGCTCGGGGGTGGGGGGGTCGGTCTCACCTTCGCTGTGCTGCCGGGGCCGGGGATCGCGGCGGGCAAAGCCGGGGGAGCTGTCGGAGCTGGACTGGGGCGCGGGGGGGCCCGAGAGCCCCTCCTGGGACGGGGTGTTGGTGAGGGGCCGGTAGCGGCTGAGGGGGGGCGTGGGGGCCGGGGGTTCCCCCAGGCCAGGCCGTGCCACCCCCGGCTCGAAGGAGAAGTCATCGGTGCGGGAGAAGGGCGAGGGGGCCGGGGGGCTGCCCTCACCCTCAGTGCCCTGCGGGGGCATGGGCAGGGGGTCAGAGCCCTGCAGCCCCCCGGGGTTGTCCCCCAGACCACCTTCCCTGCCCCCCGACATGACATCCCCCAACCCCATCCTTGGTGTCCCAGGCCTGTCCCTGGGGTTCCTGGAGTCCCCAGTCCCTGTGACACCCCAACCCTCGGTGTCCCCTAAGTCCATCCCTGAGGTCCCCAATCCCTGTGACACCCCAGCCCTCGGTGTCCCCTGAGTCCATCCCTGGTGTCCCCAATCTCTGTGACCCCCCCAGCCCCGGTGTCCCCCAAGGCCATCCCTGAGGTCCCCAATCCCTGTGACCCCCCAGCCCCAGTGTCCCCCGTCTCACCGTGGCCTCGGGCCCCTCGTCGCCCTCGGTGGAGCTGGCGCTGTCGCGCAGGCGGGAGCGCGAGGGCCGCTGGCGGCGGCCGCGGGCCAGGAGCCGGGCGCGGGCCTTGTGCAGGCTGCTGTCCAAGCGCGGCGTCTCTGGAACCACAGCGGTAAAATCTGGCAGTGAAAGAGAGACCGGGGCAGAGAGAGACGGACAGACGGACACACGGACAGCGGGATGGCATGGGGTGGGAGAGAGCGGGAACGTAGGGGTGGATGGATGATGGATGAATGATGGATTGACAGAGGGGACACTCAGGGGAGGGACCAGCCCCTCTGTGCCTGCCCGTGCCCCGCTGCAGAGCGGCCGGGAAGGGGTTAAACCCCCCGCCCCCGGTGCCCGGGGAGTCTCGGGGGGTGATGGATGGAATGATGGATGATGGATGGATGGATGATGGATGGATGGATGATGGATGGATGGATGATGGATGGATGATGGATGGATGGATGATGGATGGATGGATGGATGGATGATGGATGATGGATGGATGATGGATGGATGGATGGATGGATGGATGGATGGAGGGATGATGGATGGATGATGGATGGATGATGGATGGATGGATGGATTGATGGATGGATGATGGATGGATGGATGGATGATGGATGGATGGATGGATGATGGATGGATGATGGATGATGGATGGATGAATGGATGATGGATGGACGGATGATGGATGGATAGATGATGGATGGATGGATGGATGGATGGACGGACACAGGAATGGATGGATCCATGGATGGAAGGATGGGCATATGGAAGATGGAGGGAAGGATGAGCAGGGAGGAGGGGACAGGGAGCGGAGGCAGGTGGACAGACAGGGAAGGCCAGCCCAGTGGAGAGGGACAGAGGGACAGGGCAGGAGAGTCAAAGGGCAGGTGGGCGGTCCCAGGAAGACAGGAGGGGGCACAAGGAGAGGGAAGCATTGGGGACATGGATGGGGCACCCCGGTGGGGCAGGACAGGGGACAGGGGGACAGAGAGAAGTGTTCAAAGAGATGGCCCAGCATGGGGACAGAGGAGGGGGTGACCCTGAGGACAGAGTGTCCCTGTCACCCAGGGGGGACACGCTTTGCCCAGGTCCCACTGGGATCCCCCCAAAATCCCCACCCTGCTCTGACCCCTGTACCCCAACCCCACCTGAGCAGTGGCTCAGGGCCATGTCCCCTGCTGTGTCCCCAGGTCCCTGTCACCCCCTGTACACCTCTGTGCCCCCCGACCCCCATTCCTGTGTGCCCTGGACATGTCCCCATGTCTTTGTCACCCCCACACCCCCGTGTGTCCCCACGTCCCCTTCTCCACGCACATCCCTGTGTCCTCAAGCCACATTGTCCCCAAGCCCAGACACGGGAGGACACTGAGGGTGGGTGGGGACCCACGGGTGGCTCCGCACCCCTCGGGGGGTTCTGCACCCCAGGCCCCCCCACAGGAACTCACCAAAAACCTCGTCCGTGTCCTGCAGCTTGGAGACCGACATGGTGGGACAGGGCTGGGGACAGAGGGGACACTCAGGGGAGGGACAGAGCGACATGGTGGGACAGGGCTGGGGACAGAGGGGACACTCAGGGGAGGGACAGAGCGACACGGTGGGACAGGGCTGGGGACAGAGGGGACACTCAGGGGAGGGACCAGCCCCTCTGTGCCTGCCCGTGCCCCGCTGCAGAGCGGCCGGGAAGGGGTTAAACCCCCCGCCCCCGGTGCCCGGGGAGTCTCGGGGGGGGCTGGACCAGGAACGCCGGACCGGGAATGAGCCTGGACCGGGAATATCGAACCGAGGGGATGGGGCTGTCCCGGGGGAGGGGTGATACCGGGAACCTACCGGGGCTGCTCTGGGGGCTGGGGCAGTACCGGGGACGTTACCGGGGCTGTACCGGGGGCTGGGGTTATACCGGGGCTGCTCCGGGGGCTGGGGCTGTACCGGGGCTGTACCGGGGGCTGGGGCTGTACCGGGGCTGGGGCTGTACCGAGGGCTGTGGCTGTACCGGGGCTGCTCCGGGGACTGGGGCTGTACCGGGGGCTGTGGCTGTACCGGAGGCTTGGGCAGTGCCGGGGACATTACCGGGGCTGTACCGGGGGCTGGGGCATTACCGGGGCTGTACCGGAGCCGCTGTCCGGGGGTGACGCCCTGCCCGATCCCTCCCTCCCCACTCACCCGCGCTCCTGGGGCATCCTGATCGCCCCCGGTCGCCTCCCGCCGGGCCGGTGGCGGGGCCGGTGGGAGCGGAGGGCGCTGCCGAGCCGCCCCGCCGGGCCGGGGGCCGCGGGGGGGGGCACAGGAACCCGGAAACGGCGGGGGCGGCGGGGGCGGGGTCTGCCCCGCCCGGAACGAGCCCGGTGCTGAACGGACACCGGAGGGGGGGACCCGAGGGACAGCGGGCACGCGCGGGGTGCTGAAGGGACAGCGCCGGGGGGCACCGGGGGCACGGCGGGCACCGGGGGACACGCGGCGGTGCTGAAGGGACAGCGACCGGCGGGACGCGGGCACGGCGGGGCCACCCGCCCCCGGCCCGGATGTGGGGTGTCCGAGCCCCAGACAAATGCTGTGATTTTGGGGGAGGGGGGGTATTTACAGTGAGAGGGGGGGGAGCATTGCCCCCACCCCAGAGGAGACCCCCGTGTGTCCCCCCCGCCCGGGGAAGGCGAAAGCCCCGGGCTCGGGGTTGGGGGGGGCAGCGGGGTGTCCCCACAGAGGGGTGCCAGGCAGCCCCCCCTTCCCGGGGGGGGCAGTGGGGCTGGTGCCCCCCCATCCCCTGTGGGGTTGGCAAACGCTGGGGGGGTCCCTCCTGCCCGGCCATGGTGGCACTGAGGGGGCAGGGGGGGACACTTGGGGTCCCCCCCATGGCGATGGTCCCGGGGTCACCTCGGTGTGGGGCTGGGGGTGAGTCCGTGGAGGGGGGGCAAAGCCCCCCGGGCCCCCCCGGCCGTGCTCCGCTGAGTCCCAAGAGAAGGAGCTGGGTCTGGGGGGGCTCCCAGTGTCCCCCCACCCCCAGCATGGCTCACATTTGGGGTGGGGTGGGGGGGCCATTGTCCTGTGTGTCCCCCCCCACCCAGCGTCCAGCCAGGCGCCAGCTGTGTCCGGGGGGGCGGACACACGGGGGACACACGGGGGTGACTGGAGGACACATGGGGTGACTGGGGGACACACTGGGGTGACTGGGGGCACACTGGGGGACACACTGGGGGACACACCGGGGTGACTGGGGGACACGGGGGTGACTGAGGGGTCATAGGGATGGGTCGGGATGGGGAGGGGGCTGCAGGCAGGTGCTGGGTGAGTCTCTGTGGGATGCCAGGGGACATTTTGGGGGTGATGGAGGTGACTGAGTGGGGGGAGGGGGGGCTCTGCTGGCTGTTGGGGACCTCCCCGCTGTGCCCTGGTGCCCCCCGGCCGGGCAGGGCCGGCCCCTCCCCCGTGACCCCCCGGGCGGGATCCTTTGGGATCCTTTGGGATCCGCTCTGCCCCGCGGGATCCGCGGGGCCCGTGGGGGATCCAGCATGACCAGCATGGGATCCCAACGGGAGCCGCCCGGCGCCGCTCCCCGGGATCCCGCGGATCCCCCCGCCCGGGGAGACCCCTCTGGCCCCCCCTGAGCTGCAGATCCGCTGCGATCCAGAGCGGGATCCAGGCCCGGGAGGAGGCTCGGGGCGCCCGAGCAGATCCCGAGCCGATCCCGAGCGATCCTGTGATCCGGGAGCAGGGTGCGGTGGGAGCAGATCCCCCAGGCTCCGGGGCGGGATCCGAGGCTCAGTCCGGAGCTCAGTCAGATCCCCGGGATCCATCGCTGGCGCGGCGGGAGCGGCGGGGCCGGGCGGGGCCGGGCGGGGCCGGGCGGGGGGTCAGGGACATCCCGCGTCCCGGCGCCCCGTGCCCACCTTCTCCTGCAGCTTCTCCATCTCCTCCTTGTGCGCCAGCTCCGACTCCTCCAGCACCCGCCGCTGCGCCGTCTCCTTCTTCAGGAACTCGATCTCCCTGGGGGAAAACGCCGGGTGAGTGCCCGGCCCCACAGCCAGGGGACATGCCGGGGGTTTGGGTGCCAGGGAAGGACCCTGCTGGGCGGGTTGTGGTGCCCGGGATGGTCCCGGAGGATGGGCCGTGCCCAGGGATGCTCAGAAGGAGCTGGTGCCCCGTGGATCACGGGATCCTGGCAGGGTTGGGCTCGGAACCGAGCTCCAAGATCATCCTCGGGCAGGGACACCTTGCACTGTCCCAGGGTGCTCCAGGCCCCCCCAGGATGGATCCATGCCACGGGGAAGGTCCCTGCCAATGGATGAAGGGTGCCCAGAAGGATTTGGCACCCCAGGGATGGGTCTGAGCCTAGGGAAGGAGTTGGTTCCCCAGGGGTGAGCCCATGCCCAGGGAAGGTCCATGCACAGAGCCAGAGGAGAGGATTTGGCACCTCAGGGATGTGTTCCTGCCCAAAGGACATCCGTGGCAGGCACTGAGGGTGCCAGGGAGGGGTCAGAGCCTCTCGAGGGCTCCACACCAAGGGCACAGGGACAGGGGCTGCCTGGGGAGGGTCCGGTGTCCAGGAGATGGACACACGGCCAGGGATGGACCCACGGCTAGGGATGGACCCACGGACAGGGATGGACCAACAGACAGGGATGGACCCACAGATGGGGATGGACCCATGGACAGGGATGGACCCACAGATGGGGATGGACCCACGGACAGGGATGGACCCACAGATGGGGATGGACCCACGGACAGGGATGGACCCACAGATGGGGATGGACCCACGGACAGGGATGGACCCACAGATGGGGATGGACCCACGGACAGGGATGGACCCACAGATGGGGATGGACCCACGGACAGGGATGGACCCACAGATGGGGATGGACCCACGGACAGGGATGGACTCACGGACAGGGATGGACCCACAGATGGGGATGGACCCATGGACAGGGATGGACCCACAGATGGGGATGGACCCACGGACAGGGATGGACCCACGGACAGGGATGGACCCACGGACAGGGATGGACCCAGGGACAGGGATGGACCCACAGATGGGGATGGACCCACGGACAGGGATGGACCAACAGACAGGGATGGACTCACAGATGGGGATGGACCCACAGCCAGGGGATGGCTCGGCCCATTGTCACGGTCTGTGCCCAGGGACGGGGTGCCCGGGCGGGGGGTGGGACACCCTGGGGACAGGTTCCTTCCCGAGGGGACACTGGGAGCTGCCCTCACTTCTGCTGGTACTCCTTGATGAGCCGCTTGGCCTTGCTGTACTTGCGCTCCAGGGTCTGGTACTGGGCCTGGGTCTCCTTGAGGTGCTCGTCCACGGCCTGGCACAGGTTCTGTGCCTCCATCCAGTACCCCTCCAGCTTCTCCATGCGCTCCTTGTTCTCCTCCACGCTCTGCTCCAGCTGGGCCTTCTCGGCCCTCCAGCGCGCCTTCTCCTGCTCCAGGCACTGCAGCTGGGGACAGCGGTGTCACCACGGGGTGTGGCACAGCCGGGGAGCGGGGTGGGACACGGCACAGCCAGGGAATGGGACACGGCACAGTGTGGCGTGACATGGCACAGCCAGGTGACAGTTAGAACATGGCACAGCCAGGGAATAGGACACGGCACAGCCAGGGGATGGGACACGGCACAGCGTGGCGTGACATGGCACAGCCAGGGAATGGGACACGGCACAGCCAGGGGATGGGACACGGCACAGCCAGGTGACAGGCAGGACATGGCATGGCCAGGTGACAGGTAGGACACGGCATAGCCAGGGGATGGGACACGGCACAGCCAGGTGACAGGCAGGACATGGCACAGCCAGGGGATGGGACACGGCTCAGTGTGGCAGGACATGGCACAGCCAGGTGACAGGCAGGACATGGCACAGCCAGGTAACAGGTAGGACATGGCACAGCCAGGTGACAGGCAGGACATGGAAGAACATGGAATGGTCAGGGCAGGGCAGGTGCAGAAGGACATTCAGGGTGCCAGGGCAGCTGTCAGGGTGTCCCCCACCCCCGGACACTCAGGACCCCCCCTCACCTTCCTCTTGAGCTGCTGGATCTCAGCCTCGGTCACGGCGTGTTTGATCTGGAGCTGTGGGAGAGCCGGGGTGGGCATGGGGTGGGTATGGGGTGGGCACAGCCCCCCGGCTGGGCACCCTCTGCCCTCTCCCAGCCCCTCCTCACCTCCTTGAACTTGTGCACCAGCTTCTCGGGGTCCATCTCCACGGGGGACAGCGTGTCCTCGTTCTCGGCCAGCTCGAACACCTCGATGGCCATCTCCCCGCTGGGGAACATGGGGCTCATCTCCTCCTCCTCGTCCGTGGCGTACTCCCCGGTCTGCGGCGGGCACAGGGCAGGGTTGGCACCTGAGGGTCAGTGCCACCTCCCCAGCCCGTGTCCCCTGGCTGGCGGCGCTGTCCCCTCACCTCCTCGTCGTCCTCGGTGTACTGGGTGTAGCGCTGCTCCATCATCTCGCGCTGCCACCGCTCCTGCTCCAGCGTCTGCTGGATCAGCTGCGCCACCTCGCTCTGCTCCCCCGGCTTCTCCCGCCCGATCAGGAACCTGGGGGGCACCGCGGCTCAGGGGGGGACACCCAGGGGACAGCCCCGCAGCTGTCCTGGGAGCGGCAGGTTCAGCGGTGCTGCGGGGCTGGGGATGGTTGGGAGCACTTTGAGGGCACCAGGGTGGCACTCGGGGGGGAGATGGGGGACCCGGCTGTGGGGACAGGCCACGGGGCAGGGATCCCCGGGGTTCAGCACGGCCTGGGGGGGGTTTTGGGGTCGTACCGGACACGGCCCTTGGTGTTCCTGAGCACGGAGGCGGCGAAGCTCTGCGTGACCCCCACCAGGCTGGTGCCGTCCACCTCCACGATCAGGTCGTTCACCTGGATCCTGGGGACAAGGGCAGGCTCACAGCCCCTGGCCAGCCCCGGGACACCCCCGGCCCCGCTGTCCCCAGCCGTACCTGCCGTCCCGGTGCGCCGCCCCCCCTTCTGTCACCGTCTTGACGAAGATTCCCAACTTCTCCAGGCCCATGTCGGCCCCCGCGCCCATCCCGATGATGCTGATCCCGAGTCCTTCCGAGTCTGCGGGCACACAGAGCCGTGTCCTGCCGGGCTGCCACCTCCAGGGTGCCCTGGGGCTCCCGGGGGTGGCTCTGGGGGCAGCACCCACCTTTCTCCAGCTCCACGGGGAAGAGGTCGAGCCTCTCCACCCTCTTCTCCAGCTCGTACTCGGCCGAGGCCGCCATGGGATCCACGTCCTCATTGCGGCGGTCGTAATCCTCGTTGGAGTAAGTGCTGAACACCTGGGGGCACGAGGGGGGGCTCAGCTGGGGGGGAAAACCCCACGGGTGCCCCCCAGGGTGGGAGCGAGCCCGTGGGACCCCAGAGAGCCCCGCAGCGAGGGAAGGACAAAGGGGTTGAGGGTGGCTCGGGGACAAGGGACCTGGACACCCCAAACCCCCCTCTGGGCCACCAGGCTGCTGTCCCCAGGCTGGTGCCATGCCCTGCTCCCGGGGGGCTGTTGGGGAGGGGCTGGCAGATGTCCCTGGAGGGGCCCCAGCCCCTCGGTGCCGCCGGGAGAGTGGATTAGGGATCACCCACGGGATAAAGCCCGGCCACAAAGGGAATTAGGGCCGAGTGGCAGGGGACAAAGCCCGGTGACACCCCCGGACCCAGCCGTGTGGCAGCCGGGGGTGGCAGGGAGGAGCAGAGCAGGGGACAGAACCGTGTCCCCCTGGCCACGGGAAGTCCCTGGGGGGCTGTGGGGGTCCCCTGCTGTGCCCCCCGCCCCGTCCCTGAGTCCTGGGGGGGTTTCGGTTGTGGGGAAGGGGCTGCAATGTACCCCCAGTGCTGGGCTGGGTGGGGTGGTCGCCCACCCCCCACAGTGGGTTTGGGGGGTTCAGCATCATCCGGGCAGGGGGCTGGGGTGCTCCAACATCTGGGTGTTCCCCCCACCCACCCCCACAGGCCTCCTCCCCCAATTGAGAGGCTTTGGGTTGAGCAGAGCATCCCAAAAAACCCATCCATGGGGTGAGCAGAGCACCCCAAAAACCCCATCTATGGAGTGAGCAGAGCACCCCAAAAACCCCATTAATGGGGTGAGCAGACCACCTCAAAATCCCCATCCAAGGAGTGAGCAGAGCACCCCAAAAACCCATCCATGGGGTGAGCAGAGCACCCCAAAAACCCCATCCATGGGGTAAGCAGAGCACCCCAAAAACCCCATCTATGAGTGAGCAAAGCACCCCAAAAACCCCATTTGTGGAGTGAGTAGAGCACCCCAAAAACCCCATGCAAGGGGTCAGCAGAGCACTCCAAAATCCTCATCTATGAGTGAGCAGAGCACCCCAAAAACCCCATGTATGGGGCAAGCAGAGCACCCCAAAATCCCCATGTATAGGGTGAGCAGGGCACCCCAAAAACCCTATATATGGGGCGAGCAGAGCACCCCGAAAACCCCATCTATGAGTGAGCAGAGCACCCCAAAACCCCATCCACGGCCAGGGCGCCTTCCCCAGGGCTGGGCTGGCTGCATCCCCCGGGACCAAGGCCACCCTCAGGCACCCCAGCTCAGGGCCAGCACTGTCCCCGGCCGGGCCACGGCGGTGGCTGTCCCCTGTCCCAGGTGGGGCCACCCACCCGCTCTGACTCAGAGCCAGAATATAGGCCGGCCTCTAAAAATAACCCGGCTCCGGCACAAAGCAAGCGCTGCTCCTGCGGTCGGGGGGATCCGGGCACACCCCGAAATAGCTGCACGGCCCCTTTATCCCCCCCCCACCCCAAATCCCGGCTGGAGACCCCCAACCCCGCAGGATCCCTGCCGGGAGCGGGGGGTGCTGCCGCCCACCCGGCCACGCTGCCGAGGCACTTCCCCTTCCTCCCTTCCTCCCCTTCCTCCTCTTCCTCCCCTGCCTCCACTTCCCGAAACCGTCCTGGGCACCGGTTTGGGCACACGGGGAGGGGGTGGGGTGGCACATCCCCCCCCATCGCCACCTTGTCCCCAGGGACCCCCGGGCAGGGAGGAGCCCCGACCCCGAGGGATGTCCCAGCCCCTCACTCCGGGGCATTTCGGGCATCCCCACCCAAAAAATGGAGCGGGTTTGGCCCGGCCTGGGCACGACGGGGGGGGGTGGCACTGGGTGCTGTGCCGTGCCCTCCACTGCGGGTCCCAGGGCCACCTGTCCCCATCACAGCGGGCTTGGGGGGTCCTGGCATGGCCCTTAATTAATTAGCTCGTTAGCCAGGCCCAGGCCCTGCTTCCCCCAGCACAGGGCAGGGACAGGGACAGGGACAGGGACAGGGACAGGGACAGGGACAGGGACAGGCAGGCAGCCCTGTCCCATGGGGGGCACAGGGCATGGGGACACAGACCCCCAGCCCCTTTTTCTGTCCCTGCCAAAGGGGTGATTGTGTGGGGGTCACACACCCCAGTCTGGGCTGCCCATCACCCTGGGGTACCCCTCACCCTGGCACCCCTCACCCTGGGGTACCCCTCACCCTGGCACCCCTCACCCTGGGGTACCCCTCCCCTGGGGTACCCCTCACCCTGGGGTACCCCTCACCCTGGTACTCATCACCCTGGGGTACCCCTCACCCTGGGGTACTCCTCACCCTGGGGTACCCCTCACCCTGGCACCCCTGACCCTGTGTTCCCTCCGTCCCTCCCTGCTCAGCCGCCCCCGTGCCCAGCCAGGCTCACCTGGATGGGGGCCGTGCTGAACTGGATCTTGCGGTTGGGGACGGGCTCCTCTTCCTCGGACAGCCCCGGGATCTCCACGCAGCCCGACTCGGGCTCGTACAGCCCTTCGGCCTCCTCCTCCTCCTCCAGCCCGCTGCCCCCCGAGTCCTCCCCGAGCCCGCTGTAGGCACTTATGTCCACCAGGTCGGCCTCGGAGAAGTCCTCCTTCTTGGCCTCCTCGGAGCCATCGCCCTCCTCCGCCCGCTCGCCCTTGACGCCCTCCTCGCCCGCGGCCGCCCCCGAGCCCCCGTCCAGCCGGGGGGCCGCGGGACCCTCGTCCCCTTTGGCCGGTTGGGGCGCGGGCACCGCTTCACCCGCCGCTGCCTCCTCCTCCTCCTCCTCCTCGCCCTCTCCGCTCTCCTCCACCTCCACGGGCTTGATCTTGCAGACCTCCTGCACCCTCGGCGCGGCCGCCTCCTTCTCCGCCGGCCGCCCGCTCTTCCCCGCCGCCTTCTCCTCGTCGGGCGGCCGGGCACGGGCCGGGGCAGCGTGGCCATCGGCTGGGCCATCGCCCCGGGTGCCAGGCGCGAACACCCTGGGCCGCTTGGCCACCGCCTTGGCGTTGAGCGGCGCGGCCGCCCGGCCCTGCGCCTTGTGCAGGTTGTTCCTCAGGTCGGCCTTCTCGAAGACGGCGCTGAGCTGGCTCACGGTGGGCGACACGGCGTCGGCGTCCAGCTTGTCCAGGGACTCGGTGCTGCCGTTGAACCTCACCACCACGTCCAGCTTGCGGTCCTGGAAGCCGGCGCGCTCCTTGCGCAGCAGCAGCTTGGTGCTGGTGGCCTTCTCCTGAGGGCTCCTCTCGAAGATCTTGCGGGTCTCCTGCAGCTTGGAGAAGGGCTTGTCGGGCTTGGAGTCGAAGCGGCTGACGCGCTCCGAGACGCTGGTGCCCAGCTTGAGGAGGCTGCCCTGGTCCACGCCGTCGCCGAGGCTGCCGGCGCGGGGCAGGGACAGGCGCACCGGCTTCTCCTTGGCCTTGGCCAGGTCGCAGGCGCCCTCGGGGCCGGGCGCCGTCCCCATCTGCAGGAACATGTTCTTGATCCGATGCACGTTGGAGCCATACTTCTTGCCGCGGCTCTTCTTGCCGTCCTCGCCATCGGCCTCCTTTGTGGGCGCCAGGGCCTGGATGGTGGCCTCGTAGGCGTTCCGGTGCGGGGACGCGCTGCGCAGCCCCCCGGCCCCCGCCGCTCCCCCGGCCGAGGGGGCTCCCCCGGCCCCGCCGGCCTCGGTCCTCAGCATGGTCCCGGCGCCCGCATCGCTCGCCGCCACCGCCGCCGCTGCCCCCGGGCCCCGCGCCCGCTACCGCGCCATGGGCGGGGGGCTGTGCCGGGGGGCTGTGCCGGGGGGCAGCGCTGCCCCGGCCCCGTCAGGCCATGGCCATCCCGCGGGCCCCTCCGCCGCGGCGCTTCTTCCTTCCTTCCTGCCTTCCCTCCTTCCTCGCCGCTCCTCCTCCTCCTCCTCTTCCCCTTTCTGCGCGCCGGTGATGGAGCCGCCGCCGCCGCCGCCGCCGCCGCCGCCGCGCTCTGCCCGCCCCGCTGCCCGCAGAGCCCTCTGGGTCTGAGCAGCGCTCGCTCTTCCTCTTCCTCAGCCGCTCTTCGGCCTCAGCGCCGCCGCCGCCGCCGCAGCCCGGCCATGGGGACCCCCCGCGCGTCCCCTGCGGTCCCCTCGCCGCGCCCGCACCGGGGTCCCCTCCCTGCGGCGGGGCCCCCCCGGCAGCCGCGCTGTGCAGTGTGGGGCCCCCCCCCGCCCGCTCGGCCGCTGGTGCCACCCCCCAGCTCTGTCCCCGCGTGTCCCCCGCTTCTGTCCCCGCGTG